TTGTGCTTGCAGCCCAGAAAGCTAATGATATCCTGGGCTGCTCCCAAAGCAGTGTGGCCAGGAGGTCGAGGGAGGGGATTCTACCCCTCTACTCCATTCTGGTGAGACCTCACCTGGAGTGCTGCATCTAGCTCTGGGGTCCCCAGAAAAGGAAGGGCATGGACCTCTTGGAGCAGGTCCAGAGCAGGGTCACCAAGATGATTAGAGAGATTGAGCTCTTCTCGTATGAGGAAAGGCTGAGAGAATTGGAATTGTTCAACCTGGAAAAGAGAAGGCTGCAGGGTGACCTAACTGCAGCCTTCTGGTTCCTGATGGGATCCTACAAGGAAGATCGAGAGAGTCTATTTACAAGAGCATGTAGTGACAGGACAAGAGGCAATGGTTTCAAATGGAAATAGAGTAGGTTCAGGTTAGCTATTTAGAAGAAATTCTTTACTGCGGTGGTGGTGAGGCACTAGAACAGATTGCCCAGAGAAGTTGTGGATTCCCCATGCCTGGAAGTGTTCAAGACTAGGCTGGATGGAGCCCTGAGCAACCTGGTCCAGTGAAAGGTGTCCCTCCCCATGGCAGAGGGGTTGGAACTAGATGATTTTTAAGGTCCCTTCCAATTCAGATCATTCTAAGTTACACTGTGTAATGATTGCCCTATCCCTGAAGTGTAAGGGAGTCATTAACAATATTCACTTTGTCACTCCCAAACCATGTTATTTTATGTCAGAGTGAAACAGGATGTCAGGAAAAACCACTTTAGAGTTTAATGATGGTAAACTTCATGAAGATCTTTAGATTGAAGGACTTACTATGTTTCATTTTAAGATGCACATCCTTTAAATTTCCCCTTGAGAGGTTGGTAATGTCCTTTAGATTGTTATATACTTCCATAAAATGAATTCCTGTTCACCTTTCCTATCAACCCCTCCCTCTCCACCCAAGAATGAGAAAAAGAGGTAAAATTTTAAATACAACATTTTTGAGAATTATATTTTTATGTATACTGGATGAGCTTCTATCTAATAAAAATGTCATTTTCTAAGAAAGATCTTCAATTTCATTTACAGCAGATACGCTTTCTTAGGAGATCCAAGGCAGTGTAAATTTACCCTAACTTCCTGTGTTTTTATTTTTTTAATGTTATTTTTCATAGGTTCCACTGTGTTATAAATCAATCCCGCAGGACAGTATGTTTTCCTTTGGAGAAAAACAGTTATAGAAATTGGCCAAACCACCTCTTTTTAATTCAATAGAAGTTCTCTGAAGGCATTTCTGAAATCTAAATATTTGGGGCCTTTTTTGACCTTTAATAATATTTTTTAATCTTCAATAAGCATTCATTTTGCACAAAAGTAAAGTAGAGTATTCTGCTGTACTAAAACTACTGATCTGGGAAAAAACCCCATAATTGTTGAAAATCCTTATGAATCCCCAGGAAAATACACTCAGTGGGCCAAATGCTGTTCTCACTTATACCTTTATGTACATAGAGCAGCTTGATTCCTTACCCCGCAGTGTAAGGAAGGGGCTTACTTTGGCCAAAGGTTCTATATGCAGTTTAAAGTATTAAACATTAACATTTGCAGCTCAGTATTTATATTAACAAAACAAGGGCATGGATTATCTGAGAATAGAACAAATTCCTTTTACTTTTATGAACTAATATCAATAAGTGCAGCACTGAAGGAATTGATTCCTCCCACAATTGACTGCAATTTCAGTCTGTGCCATGGCCTGTTTTAACTTTGTTACACAATATAAACTGACCCCAGCTGCATTTCTTCATTGCTATTGGATTTGCTGTCTCTGTTCTTTTTGTCAGGGTTTTTCATGAGTCGATTTGATCCTAAAGAAAAGTTTTTTCTTTCTCCTGGGATTGTTTGGTGATGTCCAAAACTTAATTCTGTCTTGCCTACCTGTATTTTTGTAAAGATTTTCCACTGTCTTTTTTACCCTTTCCTCTCTAAGGCTCTGCCTCACAGTTGCTGATCTCCTATCTATGTTATGCTGAACCTCTTGGTAAGTAAGCAGTGAGTGCTGCTCCTTTGAGAGTCAGTAGGGTCAATTTTCAGAGCTTCAAGAATCATGTGCATGTGCTGCTGCCACTTCTCTATTCAGAAGAGCTGGAGAATGCTGTTGTGTTATTCAAATGTATATCAGCCATGACCCAGATTTTTACCTACATTTTATCTGACAGTTTAACAACAAACTCTCTTGTGAACAAACTCTCTTTATGCAGACAACGATTATTATGAAAAACAAAAGGAAGCTTCTCAAAGGAGTATATCACAATTCAAACTCTTAATTTTGTGTAACACAGAATTAATTACCAACTAAATATATTGAAACTAATCCTAAGATTACAAATAAAACTTGAGAGCTGAACAATCTCATATTTTGCAAAGTTTTGGTACTTTCATAAAAATTACCAAAGCAGTAAATGAAATAACATTTTAAATTAAATTTACTTTGGGATTGTCAGAACAGTGGATTTACAATGCATTTAATAAAAAAAGATTAAATTTCCTATAATATCTGCATAGCAAAGGGACGGTGACTTCTTCCAATTCCTCTGGAGGGTAGTGATTCCTTTTAAATTGTTTTAATTTTTGTCCCTGCTTCTATTCTGTTGAGCACTTTACATCATAATATGACAAAATTATTTGGTTTGTTTCTTGCAAATCCTCTGAAGACCTGAATGGGGAATAGGTCATCCCACTATCTAACAAATGTTAATTCAGTTTACAGACTAGCTTTATGCTTATGATCTTACACAGAATTTTTAAACTAGATGTTTCATCTCCTGAGATGGCTCACAGAAAGAATATTGCATTCAGAACCCAGTTTAGGTTTGGTCTTTCTTCAAACACCATTTGCAATAGCAATAATCTGTGGAGATTTATATTTTCTTTTAATGCCAGCTTCACAATTACTATTTCTACTATTCAGCTTTCTTTATATCTACTTTAACTAAAATAATGAAATGCAACTCTTTAGTTATCAGTTACAGATATAGTACTAAGAAACCTTGTGTTTGCTGGGCTCCCTCAATCAAATGGAACACATTTCTTAAAAATGTGTAAACTATTTTTTTTCTGGTGAAGGCTGTGAAAAGACTGTTTAGATGCATAAGATTGTAATAGATCACATTGGGAAAGGCTGGGATCTTGTGTCCTTCATTTCCTCTTTTTCCCGTATTGACTTAGAACCAAAATATTTTTATACTTTTGAATATCAAACACATCTCAATTAATTGTGTTGAAATTTAATTTTTAAAATACTAGTATGTTTTCACAACAAACAATTTTTCTATATGCTTACTTTTCCATTCAGTATACTTAACTTTGGATATTGCTCTGCAATGCAAGCTCTCATCTAAGCAAATGAACCCAAATTGCAAAAGCAGTTACTCAAGTAAAAAAAATACATCCAACTAAGCTGGGAGAAAATTTATTTCTTTCTTCCTGGAATGGACTTTTGATGAATCACAGTTTATTCTTAGTCCTTTAAGGGACCAGACCAATTACCTTAGCTACTATTTCTATTGCAGATTTTAAAGCAAACTACTAGTCTTTTGTTCATTGCTAATGCATGTTAATATCAGATATTGTTCAGTTACACTTGAGAATTTGTGTTTTAATGCATACTTGTCAAAAGAAAACAAAAGCATCACATCAGTGTTACAGCACATTTACAGCAAAGTTTTACTCAACCTGTTTCCTGATTTTTTGATGCAGCTGTCCATAGCATAGCCAAAGAGGTTGATCAAGCTGTGAAAAATAAAAATAGGTGGTTAGGTATAAATCCTTCTACTTCAGACTTTTCCATGGGCTTGTGTGAGTCATGGAAAGCCCTGGAGGTAGAACTGGCTACTGGAGATGGATGCACCTATTTTTTTCTGACCAGAGAGTAATGCCATGGGCTTAAAAGATGTCACAGGAAATCCTTCAGAATTCAGGCAGAATAGGGAGTACTTAGCTCATCTAGAAAGCAGTCCTGTTATGAGTCAGAAGTTGGGTAACTAGAAGTCACAGTATGCAAGCATAATGATTGGTTTTGAAAAGTTGCCCTCTATTGCCCCTATGCAACAATAAATTATTTCTATGTAATACTGTAGGTGCTCTGACACCTTGGTCAAAAGAAGAATGTTTTGATCATATGAATAGGATAATAGAAGATGTGAAAATAATAATTATCAACATTTTGGCTCTTATCACTAGCTATTTTTTTCATTCTAATAGTCTGTATTTTGTTTTCTCTGATGTCTTCCAGAATTAGTTTATTTTAAAAGTATTTTTCTTTCAGTCCTTCATCTTTATTCTTAGGGGGTTGGAGTTTATAACATCAATTTAGTCTCCCTCTCTCATGTTTTTCTCCTCTTATTTTAGTAGTAACAAATTTTCTTCAGGAACGAAGCTTTAATGTCTTTTAACGATGTGTCATTTACAGAAGAGTGCTCTGGTTGTAGCATATCCACTTCTGGTTTAATTAGACTGCTGCTCTTCTAGGTTCCTTTCATCTTTCAAAATATATCCTGCCATTCTCTATTTTCCCCTTGCACTTCTTCTATCTTGTTTCTAATTATCATGGGAGTTGAAGAGCTTGCTCACTTTCAATGTTTTTTAGCTTCATAGAGCTTGTACCCTGGCTTCCAGATAGCAGATGCTGGTAACAAACAAACCTGCTCAGCAAGCTCAGCTATTTGTTTTCACACAGAAAAAAAAAAAAAAAGAAAGAAAAAAACCCCAAACCAACAGCAACAACAAAAAAAACATGCATCAGGAATAAAGAAGAGGTTCTTTACAACATGAGAGAGACATTTTGAATTAATAATTTATCTAGTAGTCCACTTGTATCTACAGTAACATAAACTTTATCTTGTTTTTTTAACCCTGGAGAGTAGCCATATGATATAACATTAATGAGTTTATCCACATTTTTGAATGTGCTTTGAACACAGCTAATCTCACAAGTGTCTGTTGATCATGATCTTCATTTTCTGAAGAGCATCCAGAGTCACACTTTCCCCTCTCTTTCATGGTTAAGATGAAGCATCTGCTGCCTGCTATCTTGATTATCATCATAAAGAGTGAGAATTTAAAAGCTAGAAGGATAGTAAAAGTGTGCAGCAAGCACTTGAGAGGTAAGTGTCCTGGAAAGCAGGCAACCTCTTCTTTGTGCAGTTTTTTACTGTACTACCTTTCCTTCTCTTCCCCTGCCTTTTTTTCCTCTTTCACAGAACTAGCATTGGCAGTGGTATTGTACGACTGATTAGTGCATGGTATATAGATTGTTTATTTGTTTTTTGAACTATTTTTTACTTCATCTTAATTTTTTATTTCAAAAAACAATGTTCTCCAAGGAAGGTGGGAGAAAAGTGACCTTTATGTTCCAATTCTTTCAAATTTCAGTTCTCTGCAATCCAGGTGAAAAATTAGAGCATGCACATTTCAAGGATTGTTAGCATTTCTGCAAGTATGGCAGGTTTCACTTCACAAAAAGGAGGGGACTACTTAAGACTCTGTTATCAGTGGTTCATATTCAGTGGTTGGCAATTTATTAGGTTAAGATTTTACACTCAGAGAATTACATTTCATTACTTATTTTAAAATTATTGATGAATAAGATTAATTCCTAGTCTTTCTTTTATCTTTATTAATGACAAAATTTAATTCCTGAATTGAAACTGGCAAATCTAGACATCTGTATGATCTTTGATCAGTGAATCTGAACTAGTTAAAATCAGTGAATCCAGTTAAAATCATAGTTTCAGTGCTTTTTGTACAAAGATACAGTAGCTCACCTAAAAAATCCAATGCGCAGGCTGGAAGGTGTAAAGACCTTCCCCGGATCTTCGCTCGCGAAGACTGGCCATTAATTAACAGTAGGAGGTTATTTAAGAATAAACACTTTCTAGGGGTAAAAAAATATAGAAAGGTAGAAGCAGCCACTGCTTCACACAAAGGGAACCAAAGCAGAGATACAGTGATTTACCTAGAATTTCTCAGTGGTTATCACAAAAACGCAGCATCATCCTGCATCTCAGTGTGTTCTTCCCCATAGGGCCACTGTGTTTTGTTCCCATGCCTTCTTTCCCCGTTTTGTCTATCACTTCTTTCTACCTTCACATCTATCTTCATTCTTCCTTTTTTATGTCCACCTGTTGGTTATATTTCATTTAAAGTTCCATGACTGGAGAATGAAGGCAAAGGGGTCTTTCTTATGGTAGTGTGATATTCTGGAAACACCATCACTACTCTTGTAGTTAGAACCATGGCACTCCTTGCCTTATGTATAGATATACTAGACCTGACAAATGAGTGTTCATGACCCCAAATCAGATTGGAATTAGCAGAAGAAGCTAATTAGTTCATCTTGAGTTAAGAAATTAATATATTTCCTCCTGCCTAAATCTTTGCAAAATACAAAATGATTGTTGCAGTATGCTTTTAGGATATAAAAGAATACAGAAGTTTGTAATGTTCTTAAATTGACCACGTGTCCAAGATGGTGATTGTAAGCCTTTGCGTAACCCTTCTTGTTCCCAAAATCCCACACTGCCCCTTTGGAATGTCTAAGAGATACCTGGAAACTCATCTATTGGCTGTTAACCCTTTCTTGTAATTGGTTGGTTTGTAACACCTCCTGACCTCCCACTGGTCACCTTGTGATCCCTCCAAAAGGTACTTAAGCTGTTTTCAGATCAATAAACTCTCTCTCTGCCTGCATCTCTCCTGCCTGGCTGTCGGCCCCGTGGTCCCTCTGGAGGGCCATGAGGCGCCACGGGGTGGGTGAACCAGGGGGGGAGCACTCCCCCCCTCGGAGCTAGGGGCAAAAGGAAGCCTCCTGTTCCGGGGATCCCTGTCCTTATAGGCAGGTTTACAGTACTGATCTCTTTTTAGAGTTTGTGAAATGAAAACCAACGCAAGTGTAGAAGGGTATGAGGTGAAACAGGTCATTATTTCATAAATAGCTCTATGCAGTGGAAAGTTTCACTGATTTCAGACTTCTGGGAGATTTGGAAGGGTAAGTTTAAGGACAGAAAAATAATAAAATACCCACAAAACAAGCAGTGCACTACAGCAGATGTCAAAGTTCTGGTGTAGCAGAAAAATCACACCAAAAATACATAACAAAATTATCTGTCAAAACTTTTGTACAATGCATAGTCATTTCAGCTCAGAGCTTGCAACCAGGGACATTTTAGCATTCATCTCTTGAATAGCAAGAGACTATCATCTTGCAAATGGTTTTGATAGGATGCAGTAAATTCCTGAACTATCGTAACAACTCAACAGGGACTAAATTGTTGCTAAGACAAAGATTCAGCCCTTCTTCTAAAGTTATGACAGACAGTTGTGACTTTTTGGTAGAACAGCTGAAAGCATCTTTGCTTGGCCAACAAGAGAGACATACTGAGCTTTCTATCCACTTAGTCGCTTCATGCAAGATTGGATAAATAGTCACCACAGACTCAGTGAAACTGAGGGGTTTAGTCCTTATTGACTGTACTGAGTAAAAGTAGTCATACGGATGATGGATAATTTTTTACACCGGATCTGAGTCTAACATCAACCAAAAAAGGGTATTTTTATACTACTGAGTTGGAAACACTTCATTTTGCATCAGAGTGCTAGTAACCCATACAGCATACCCTTCTCTGTGAATGGACTAAACAGTTCCCTTGAATGAGACTATATTTTGTGTTTTTGATCAACCATAGTTTTATCAACTATGTCAACTATATTTTATCCTGCTGAACCTTACATGTCATATGACTATAAAGAAAGGCAGGAGCAGCTCTCAGCATGGCCCAGCCCAGCAACACACATTTCAGCTGCACTGCAGAGGGAGACAAGCTATCATCATTAGCAAGAGATGGCTGCAATGCTGTGCTATGGGTAAAAGCCAGACCCTGTCTTGGTAGCTGTGTGTGACATGTGAACTTGTAGTTGAAGATCAGCCTGGTCATTGAAGGGAGTTTGGACTAGATGGCCTTTTGAAGGTCTGTTCCAACTCAAATAGTTCTCCAGTTCTAAGATTCTCTAACACAGTCCTCAGCTGCAAGATGCGCTTGGTGCAGTCAGACTAGGGGCTAAAGGTGTGAAATACAAGGGTCTTGTGCCATGGTTTGCTTCTGCCAAAATGCAAAATGGTATGAATCCTGTGACTGTTATTCAGAGGGCATACAGCACAGAATATATTCCCAGGATATACTGAAATGGGAAGGTTGATCCAAAGGTTGATCTAAATAGGGTTGGACTTATCTGTAACACCTTCCTAAAGGATGTTGTATTAGTTCTACTTAAAGTGAATGCTTGTTTGCTCTATAAGTGCAATATTGTTAAATTACAAACAATGCAATTTTGTGGTAATTGTGGTTCCATTCCAATGCAATTGTTAAAGAACAGTTATTTCAAGGAGTTTCTTTAGCAAACAAAGCTACTTCTGTTTTTATGACTTTTGACAAATCAGTAACAGCCACTTGAAAGAAAACATAAAACCTCCTAAATTGTAAAACTGGAATGAAATGGGAATTAAAAATTCAGTCAAGTTTACTAGCACAGAAGAAAACAAATAAAAGAATCTTTGCAAGCAAGAAGTAATCCAATAAATCCAGCACCCAAGTGATTTAGTTGAGTAATCTTAATTGCAATACTTTAGTCTTAATTTTGGTTTCTTACTCTGTCATGCTACCTGTGATCCCACACATAGTCAAGAATGTCACAGTGATCAAATAAACTAGAAAACCCCAGATACACAGAGGCCACTGTTGACATAAGCTGTTAATCATGAAAATATGAGTCAAAAAAAGAAGCACACTGATGTAGTATGTCTGAAAACCTATTGATTCTCCAGTATATTAATTCTTTTCACAAAAGAGTTATTGTCAAAGAATGAGTCACAGAACAAAATATGATGCCTTTGTCTATGCTCTCATTTACAAGATTTTTAAAAAGTGATTAATGTATTTTTGACTAATTGTATTTTAATTTAACACACTTAAGTCCAAAGTGCGGGATCTATCTCAGACAATATTATATACCATCTGATCACAGTGGTATTTGGTAAAGAAAATTCAGCAGAATATTTATGCACACATACAACTATATTTATAAAGACGTATACATACAAGACAGGAGGACAATAAAACCACATATAATTGTAAATAACTGTATGGATAATACAGGCAAAGAAGGTTCTTTTGGAAAGTATGAAAAGGAAATTGCTCATACAACTACAATTTGTCACAAAAAGAAAATAACAGTGGTTGTTTACATTCTCTGAGTTTGTGTTTTTCAGTTTAGGTGGTGTTCTTCTTTATTAAAGCCATTTAAAATAAACTGATTGTGTGAAGATACTGTGGACTGCCCTTTCCAAAGGTTTAAGGAAGACTATTAAGATTCACACCTTACTTCATTGCCATTTCCTCATGGAAAAAAATCTCATTGAATTGGAAATAATAGAAATAATGTGAGTGCGGAAAAAAAATTGATAGCTTAGTAAAAGTGTAAACTACAAAGATGTGATATGTCAATAACTCCGTTGAGCACTCTAGGGATTCAAGAGTTCTCTTCAAAATCTTACTATATTCCGAAGATCTGTTATGGTGATCAACCCTGACTGAAGATACTTCTTCCTATATTGATTTCTGTAATAACAGCTCTTCATATACCTCAAGAATCTGAAATGGAAAGACCCTCTGCTATGTCTGTCATATATTGAAAAGACTAGATGCTTGCTAAAGTATCACAAGGCTCTGTTTTCTAAATGCTCCATACAACTTGATGTCTCATTTAAGATTCAAGATTAAAAAGAAAAAAAATATTAATAACATTAAACCCATGAAACACCACTGAAAAAATACAAAAGATTTTGTTTTATCTACTTTTGTGAAACAAAATCAGAAAAACCTTTATTTTTCCTTCTTTATCTTGTCCACTTCCAGTGGACTTGAAATTGACTAAGAGGCTTCTATATTACATCTAGGTCTGCTCATGCTGGGGAGAATGTTTCCCTGATAGATCACATAATATAGCATGTGAATATTTCTAGATTTTTTTTCAGATACTGATTCTTTCACTGAAATTTGTCCCTTTCTCTGAGTTATTCCACTGTTTTAACTGAGCAGGTTGGTGATACAAAGGCTTTATTTTCCTTGTAGGGTCAACTGATCCTGTGGCTCTACATGGCAAGGTGGAAGTTGTGCCCACCTATATTCTATTTCTCGATTGTGGTCCCAGTCTCCCCATGGAACTGGATCTGTGTGCGAGCTGACTGAACTTAAGGTAACTGGTGGGAGCACAAGGAGCTGGGCTTGTTGCAGCAGAGAGATGACAGTAGATTTGTTCACCATGCCTTGTCAGCCTAAACAGTCCACTGAAAATGAAAATATCTTCTTAGGTTAGGTGTCACTTTCTGTACTAGATTGATCCACTTACAAAGGGAAGTCAAAGAGGCTTTCCCCACTTCTGTGACCAAGGTTGAGATTTCATGAATGAGTCAACAGAACCTAGGAGGAAAGTTGCTCATGTGGCTTTTTCAGACCTGACACACAACCTCTTCAGATACTGCCATTTCCTAAGACTCTTGTAAGTCTTTCTTTCTCTCTTGTTGTAGGTTTTCTTTATTTGAAAAGACTTTCTCTTCCTTTTAACCTGCTGAACTTTGCAGTTCTCAATGAGCTATCTGCTTTGCTGTAAGGATAAGTAAAAATAGGAGTTGTTCACAGTCTCTGACAGTTGGCTTTAGGGCATAGCCTCAAATGCAAATAAACACATAGTAATACTAAATATGAGGTTATAGTGTACATTAATTGACTTGGGTTGCAGAAATCATAAAAACAATTTTTCCTATTTTTTTTAATGTTTCTTTTGTTGCAAATCAGAATGGCAGTACTTTATACTGATATGAGTGTATATTAGTATATTGTCTTCTATCTATTTAATAGATTTAGGCAATCCAATCAAATAATCATATCCGTTTAGGATTTAATACTGAGTTAACAAAACCAATAGTGTTTTACAGAAAGTGGAATTACTGGGTTTTTTTCTGATACTCCATAAAATTATTTGTACTACTTGTATCCTATTACTTTGTCAAGACATAAACAGTCAATAGTTTAGGATACTTTAAATATTTGATAGTGAAGATTGTACAATTAATCACAAACAACAGAATATCAGAGAAAAAAAAGATTATGTAGAAAATAATTTTCACTTGCAAAATACCATGAGGTGCAATTATCTAAATGACTTTCAAAAATATTTACTAGTGTAGCACAATTATAATATTAATCACATCTTCCACACCGCATGTGCCCAGTCAAAATCTTGGCTTTTTTTTTTAATGGCAAATAAATTTCTGAAATTTACGGAGACTGGTTTGGGGTAGTGTCCAAGGTCAGTATTTTTTACTATATCTTTGGACAGCTTTTTTCAGCAACGGCTAATGCTAAAGGCTTAGATACCCAGAATCTTGGGAGAATGTGGTGTAGCGTTCAGGTGTTTCTACCAGTGAAAGAGACCTTGCCCCATTAGATAAGGTGAAATTTGATTAGAAAAAAATGACAAAGTAGAAATGTTGCAATTTCAGCTGTGAAATTAAAAAAAATCTAATTAGGTCAAAACCACCAATAGGCAGTGTCGTGCTTTTAACATGTGGTGTCTGGGTTTTTTTCTAAGTAATACATTCCAACTGAAATGTCAGTATTTTGAATTTGATATTAATTTGGAATTTAATTGAAATATAAAAACAATTGAATAGTCTCATAAAATATTGCCATGGCTGATAAAAATATATATTTTTTTTGAGAGAGTACAATTTAAACCGATGAAAATCAGTGCTGATATTGCTCCAGCCAAGAATAATCAAAATGGACCTAACACAACTTTTATCAGCTTGAAACAGAGGCAATTCATCTTGCAAAATGTGTGGATATCTCCCCCTACAGAGAGCAAGGCAGTGTAGGCTCAATACTTGTCCTTAAAATAGCACAATCTTCTCAACTTTCTTTACAACCCTCTGATTGCATTTCATCCATAATCCACAGTTCTCTTCTCACTGGAAGGACTGTGATCTGGTTTCCTGAAGTCCAGATCAGTGTTTTTAGGACAAATGGTTAGTTGTAGACAGGTGTTTTGATTCACTCTTTAATGATATTTCATTTCTATTGTAACCTTGACTGAAGAGCTGAAGAGGTGAAAGAATCATGACTGTAATAAAGGAACCCTGGACTGCTTTTGGTGGTATTTTTGGTAGTAACTATTGGTTGTTTCTCTGATTTAATAACAGTTAGTAAGAAATACATTTCCTAGGACCCATACATCTCAAATTGTCTCAATTTTCCAGTTATCAGTGCTAAATTAAAGGCATTTTAAAAGTTAATGATACTCCATAGTCTTCAATTCATACAGTGTTTCTTTTCTCATATTTGGGTGAACAGTGATACAGCTTTCCTGTAGATATCCACAAATCTTTGTACATTTTATGAGGGAAATAATTGGAACTACTTAACTGGAACTGCAACTCTCTTAATTGGAATTACTTTTAATTACTAGCTGGTTTTCACACATGAGATAACACCTCCTCATGGGCCCATTGTAGTTCTGCTCATATTTTTGATGGTCTATCTATCAGAACCAGATTTCTGTACTAAACAACATAACAAACAATGTTCTTTCTTAGCTGAAGAAGCTGAGAAATTGTGGGCAGTATATAATGATCTGTGTCTGAGGAAATCTGGCTCAAGTACCAGACCTGAATGTGTGTTATGAATATAAACCATCTGTACATAAACCATCTGTATTCTTAAATGTGACTGCCAAGAAAGTATATAAAAACTAAGAGATTAAGATTTTAAAAGAACCACCAAAGTAATAAAATATTCAGTTTCTTTAGTGATGCTAAAGGAAAATGGCGTTTAGCTAGTTACACCTTCTGAACAACTTTGAACCTCATGAAGACTGTAACAAATCAGGTAACAAAACATTTTAGCAATTACCCTTACTCTCTAATATAGATGCAATAAACATCTTTTCAGTTATTGGATGAAACTACAGAGCTGTCTATATTGAGAACTGCCATTGTTGATCAGATTATTTGTTCATTTTATGATGGTATCACAACAGCAACTCACAGTGGTTTGGACAGTTCAATTTTAATATCCAGAACCAGCTTCAACAATCAGAGTGTTTCACGAATTAGAGCAAACATAGTTCCTTGCTAGGACCTCCCAGATATCCTGAATTAACCAAGGAATCTCTGGCCCAGCTCAGCAAGCACCACTATTCTGGAAACGGCACATAGTTATTCGCATTGCTAGGTCACACCAAACAACAATAGATCTTCTGGATGTTCACCTGAACCTGTGTCTAGTGGCAGAAAATAAGGGACATCTGGTGGTGTGACATATCACATGACTTAACAAAGCTCCCTGAGCAAAAAGAAAGGGCTGATCCACAACAGTTGAACAAAAACGGAGTCAGTGATTTGATATAGTCACATGGAAGTTAGTATTCTATAATCTCTCACACGTATCAGGTAGTATTTTCTAATTTTTGTAAGTGTCTTTGGTTTGCCTGAAATATTTTCAACACAGAGTAAGTGATATTGGAAAAACTGACAGTCCCATCGATTGTGTGGAATGTTCAGAAATTCAGCAGGACAGTCATCATCATAATCACTGAAAAGGTTGTACTGATACTAGGAAGGATATTATTATTCCTCCATTTTGCTCCTGAGAGATGCCTTCCCATAACCCCCAAATACGGTCTTCATTTTATTTCTATGAGAAATAAAAGCCAACTTGAATTCTGAAGTACCAGAGAACTACTTGCAAATATTATAGCTTGATTTTTTTTTTTTTACAGATACTGTAGATAATAGGTACTTCAGATTTACTAAAGTGCATGATTGCTTTTTAAACTGTGCATTTCTTCATAATAATGCAGTGTAAATAAGTTGTTGTACTGTAAAACATCACCACTCTCTCACAAGCCTCTAAAGTTCTTAAAAGCACTCACTCTTATTTGGCTTTTAAAAACTAGCTATTAATATTTACATTTGTGACTGTGCACAAATATATAAAATCAACATAAAAGCCAGAGGTTTAAGTACCTGCCCTTCCATTCACCAGGTCAGAAGGAACTTGTAGATCTGTCTCAGAGGATTTCTTGCCATTATAAATACGAAACTAGGATGTTAAAATGAAAAAGAAGCAAATAAAATAATAATAATAATAATAATAATAATAATAATAATAATAATAATAATAGCAAGGGACAGAGCTCAGTTTGATGGCTCCAAAGAGTGGAAGGAGATTATATTAAAGCATAAATGGGGTTTTAACATTTTTTAAATCCAGAAGGTCTAATCTAATCTAATCCTTTTCAATCCAATTTTTTTAATGCAGCCTAGACATCAGATTAAATCTTGCACTTTTTTAGGCCATTGCAAACAGAATCAGCATCTGTGCTGCCTTTCTAATATTCAACATTTCAAAAGGGATTTTAAATGAATCACGAGTATAATTATAGAACATAAACAAATGAAAAGCTATGAATTAGATACCAGACATCTTATTTTTAATTTAAGGTGGAAAAAATTATAATGCCTTTTGGTAATTTTTCCTTTTCTGGTAAATGAAATGACTATTAAAAAGATAGGAAAAGGAAGAACCCATTCTTGAGGTCATGTAACACTATGAAGACAACAGCTCACAGAAAGAATTTTTTCCTTTTTTTTTTTTTTTAAGTAATTTGATGCCATAAAATCAACAATTTGAATTTTATCTGCTGAGTTTTCTAATACTGATGTTAATGAAATATACCTATCGGATAAAAAGCCTTGGTTTTTTTCCATTCTTTTCCTGGGTTTTAGATACTGCTATATTTTGAATTTAAAGTGAATCATAAGTTCTTGTAAAGTGCAAAATAATGTACTGCAGATTACTGTGTCCCATAGTAAATACAGCATCTCTTCTACCAATACAAAGATTTCCAAGCTCTCCCTCGCCTGCTGCATCAGATACATGACAAACTACTTATTGCTGAGGTAACAAATTGTCTGTTGAGCTATTCTTCTTTTAACACACTTGCTTCTCCCAAAGGAAACACAAAACATTCTACAAGATAGTTTTTGTTAGATTAACAAGTTCTTAGGCACTGGGGTAAAAAAACTTAAAACACCAATAGAAAGATGACCATCATGTATGTATATTAGAATCTAATTTTTAAGACACTTGAACCTGGTTTTGTTCCTGATCAAGTCATGGCAAAGCCACAGTGGG